TTTAAACAATCGGGAACAATCGGCTTTTAGTGGCAGTGGGAACAGCTCACCGACGCGTGTCTACCGGGTTAAACAGGTTAAACGACTTGGGACACAGACCACTCAGCTTCTAGGGGAGGTTAGACCACCTTTTTTTTATCAGTGGAAAGGGAACCAAATGCTGATTGTAAGCGGGTCAACCCAAGTTTGAAAAACACACGTTAACCTGCTATTTTCAGTGGAAAAGAGGCTTTAGAGACATGCATGCAGAGGGGGGCATCCAAAGTCTATACAGTGAGGCACTGGGCAGGATTCAAGCTGAGGACCCTGTTGTTCTAAGGCTCCTAAATAGGTCACCATTCAGTCATTAGAAACAAAGGTCTTATTAAGACACATGATTCATCCAACTGGCCTGTGAATTTGCCTTGTAGTAATTATTTAAATTGTAGGTTTGTTATAAGTTAAAACTAATTAAGTCAAATCATTTTTTATGACCTCTCAAAAGCTGCAAAAACATTCTCCAGCCCAATATGACGAAGAACCATCAGCTAAAAAGAATAATCCTTCTCCCCTTTTTGACAATCCACATGTTATTTGTGAATTGCAAAGTGTTTGGGACCATTTGTGCACAAGACATCCAGCAGCTTCACAGTAATCAAACTCTTAATATGAAGATTTATGATCCACCTCTGATTCTTAGAGCTGATAAACTGCACCTTCTTTCACAGCCAAAAAAAAAAAAACTGCAGCTTTGCAAGTATCTTGCAAGCAGGGGAAACTTGTTCTTGTCTGTGTGTGCAGGCGTTAATCATCAGCAAGCAGATGAGTGGTGGTAGCACTTGGAAAGTGCTGCGTTCATGGACATGTTTTTCCCCAGTGATGGATCTGTATGAAAAACGGCGCTGGTTAATGCTGGTGGCTTGAAAATACACAATAGAGGAGAAACTAAAATAGAAAAGAAACGAGTAAAAGGCCAGACTACAGAGCGAACAAATGAGAGGAGAAAAAACAAGAAAACGTGTCTATGGGCTTCCAGGCACATTCAACTGGACCTATTCGTTAGGCTTTCAAACAGAGTTACTTCCCAGAAAGCAACAACGAAAAAAACATTTGCATATATTTGCAGGTCATGAATTTTGTGCACAGCACAAAAAGAAAAAAAAAAAAAAAAGGATGACAGAGAAGGAAAGGAAGGATTATAAGTTAGATGACTGCAAGCTGTGTGCTATGGAAGCAGACAGATTAGCATCGGGCCAGTTGGAATTCAGGCCTTATCTTTGCTTGGCAGGGCCCACTCACAGGAGCAGTAAATGAAGTAGTCCTGGGTACGAGCCTGCGGCGGGGCAAACACTGCTGTCTCTGTCACACCCGGCTGCACAACCCGATTAGCATGACACTCAAATTTGGACGTCTCCTGCTGCAAATCTCTGATTTCTCAAGTTGGCTGAATTAATAACAGAGCTGTACACAGAAGAATGACTGGAATCTGTAATGACTTTACTGCCAACGGTCGTCATACTGACAGCGACAGCAGTCATAGAATGGAGGTTTCCCTCAGCAGAAACTTGTGGTATGCGTGGTTCAGTTTTAACCCTGCTGTTATTTTGATTATTTATAATCTGTAGTTCTTTGTTAATATTTGATTTTAATTCCAATTTCTAAAGATATTTAATTTCCCTTTGGGATTATTTAAGTATTTTTGAATTAAATTGAGTTACCCTATTCTTTATTAAACTCTTCTTCTTCTGCATTTAAAGTGCAAGGAGTGGCTGCCAACAAAGATAGGGATGAAATGTGAGATTAATAATGAGATTAATTTAAATCCATGGACAGGAGATGGGTAGAACCTAACAGGCTGCATAGATTAGTCCTATGTTTTAACACAAAAGCTGCTCTGGTACCACCCGGTGATATCCTTGACAGACCAACCCTGTAGTGTTCCAGCAGCTTTCATGTCTGGTCTTGCCCTCAGGAAGTGAACCCAGTAAAATAAAAGACAGGGGAAAAAATGGTGATGAAATGATGTAGAAACCATACCGGTCATCAGAAAACACCTAAAACTGAGGCTTTTCTCTCCCATATGAAAGCTACATGTAAAAGCCACACAATGTTTATCCTGGGCTCTTCATCTCCTTTCTCCATATCACCTTATCTGTCCCATTTCAGCATGACGTTGTCATGTTGGCATGTAGAGCTCGAGGTTTCCTCTTCTCAGGAATGTGAAACAATTCTGACGAACTGAGTTACATCGAACAAGCAACTATGACAGCATCCTACTACCTTCTTACCAGCAGATTGTTAGAAGTGATTCAGTATGACCACCCATCACTGTCTCTAGAGATTTTAATTCTTCATCCTGTCTTTAAAGCCATTTAAGGTTATTTTGCAGAAAACAATACAGAGAATTTAGCACCATCACTTACAATACTAGCAAAGACGTATACGTATATCTATAATGAATTTTATGTCATAAACAGAGGTGTGAAAAGTATTAATGTTTATTACCGTACTCAAGTAAAAGTTTAAATCCTACTTTTTAAAAACACTTCTGTAGAAGGTACAGTATCAATTAAATCTTTTTACTCAAGTAAAAGTGTGTGCAATTTTTTAAAACTACTTAAAGTATAACAGTAAAAGTAATGCAGGAAGAAAAGTTCAGGAGCGATGCTTTAAACTTTATACTGGTTGCTGCACTACCCTATTAAAGGAACATTTTTCTACAATTCTGGATGATAACTTCCTTATACTTAATTTTTTTAATTTTATAACTATGGAAACCGTGTCAAATTTATCTTTGCATAATCTTGACAATTTATTTATTTTGGTTTGTGGTGAACAACATGTTCGGGCAGTCCAACCATAAAGAAGTTAATTGTCTGAAAGAAACAAATTATATATATATATATATATAAAAAATACAAATAGGCTATAACGAAAATGAGCTTACATGAAACCCACTAACAAGTCTATTTTAAATGTAAGGAGTATAAGTAGAGATACTGTAATTGCTAAACAATATAAGGAGTAGAAGTAAAAAGTTATCTAACAAATATTTACTCCAGATAGCCACAATTTCTACTTAAGTAAGGATACGTAAAAGTACTTGTACTTTGTTAGAGGACACCTCTGATCATAGAGAACCATAAGGTTCAGAAGTACTTAACTAAATCGAGAGCTACCAGAACACTTAAAAGCTATAAACACCATTACATGGCATTACAGCTTAGTGGCTAGATGGAGAGCTAATATTAGGTCCCACTAATGTAAATGTGATATTTTAACGTTTTTGAAGGGTTGGATTAGTCCCTCACAACAACCCAAGACTCAGATTGGGAAAAAAAACATCCCCACAGCATAATGATACTACTACTCTGTCCCACTGTTTACAAGTGGAGCACCGTCAATAACATCAAACATGTTTTTAGTTTTAAAATCACAAAGGTCATAATCGACTAGCAGCTGGATACTTGTCAAGCATCAGGGAACGTTTTAGCCCTTTAAACAAATATTAGCAAGCCATTACTGATTCAAACAGACTGACTGATTCTCCTCTCCATTTTCTGGCTAAAGGCTGTACATCGCTCTCCTCTTCCCTGGCCATTTTCTTTTTTTTTTTTATCTTCATGTCTCAACTAGAATCTTTCTGGTTTGTTTTTCACTCTCCCTCTGAAAAGTTAAGATAAGTTAAGTTGTTTCACAAGAGTCTCCATTTTGTTTACATCTTGGCTCTCATGAAATCACATGAGCTCACAGGAAGTGGTGCATTGCTCCCTTCAGCACAATAATCACAATGATATCCTGCAGTTTGTGATAGCCAATTATTTACAAAACCTTATAATGCTTGCATTTGTTAAGTTTATGGAACGGTTGGTGTGGGAATTTCCTTGCATCGTTCAGAGCAAACAGTAGAAGTACTATTTGATCAAGTTCCTCTCATGGACTAAACAGTCTCATTGGCTCGATCGTAAAGATCAATTTCTAAAAACAGCTTAGCAGACCTTTAACCGCCCCGACACATGCACACATCTATGTTTATACATCTCTGGGGGTTTTGGTGTGAATGTGGCCAAAAAAAAGGCTTTGGAAAGGATATGATTGGAGGTTGAACTGCAAGGCAGCCAGAGGTGAAATGACACACAAGGGCTCATTGTGCAAGGCTCCTTCTTTTCTGCTCCCTGTGGTCATTCTCATATATCTGCATGTGGACACGTGTTTAAAGAGGAACCAATTAGAGTTTGATTTTCCTTCAGCTCTTCTTACAAAGTTTGGTTACAATTTAGTTTTAAGAGCTTTAATAGAACAAGATATAGGGGAGCCATTGAAAATCTTTTTTCTAGTTATTGTTCTGTGAACATTAGGAGCGGAGACGAAGGCACTGAACATTTTAGTAAACTGAACTTTGCCAACATGTCAAGACAAAAGTCAAAAGACAAATTGTTTTGCAGACATTTGTTTTTATATTATTTAACATCTATTTTTAGCCAACACATTAATGTAGAGCCTTTTACTAATGAGATATTTTCCATATCCACTATAATCGATAAATAACAAGAGATTAAATGCTCAAAGATCCAAACTAAACAACTTTAATCCACTCCATACAGCCTTCCTGTTACCAGCTTATAATGTTGCTCTCACTTGATCTGTCTCAGCCTAAATAATAGACGCATCTCAAAGTGTCCAAAACAAAACAGTTACCATTTTAACAGCTTTTGTTATTTCTGCACCTCCCCTGGCCTCAATTTTGATGACAGCAGCTATATTAGCATGGCATATGGTGATGCATTAGCTGATCTGAAAAAAAAAAAAAAAATAGAAAAGTTTCCAACTGGGACCCATCATGAGTCATACCCTGCCAAGCTAAAATTAATCTTTAATTGAACTCGTTTTGCTTTGATGGCGGAGGACACACTGCTTCCCCCTGTCTTCATCTGTTTGCTTTGACCTGTTGACATGTTATTCTCATTGATAATCTCTGTCCATGTTGGAATAAACGCCTCCTTCCTCTCTCTCGTCTTCAGGACCTGTCCTGCATTGATGACCTCTCGACCTCTCTGTTCTCCTCTCCGGCGGACTCACTGTCCGAGTACGCTGATACCACGCCCTACATCAGCGCTAACCCCCAGGAACCACTGCCCTCCATCTGGGACATTAACACCAACACTAGTACCGCCACCACACAAGCACAGAGCCACTTAGAGGTCAGTGGCAAACACTCTCAGGGCATTATCAGTCACTGGAAAGATGCTAGCACCGTAACCTCCTTTAAAAGCTAATATGAGGACTTGTTTTCATAAGTTTATTGAAGAGAGAACTAGGAAGGAAGGTGTTAAAGAATAAAACATCAAACAATGGTCACACTCACCCTCTCTGGTTTCTCAGTTACCATAAAATCTAATCCTTCTGGAGGATATTTAATGCAACTGTTCCCATGCAGCTTTTTTGATCAACTTGAATAAAAAAAAAAGTAGTTAACTATCATTAATATCAAATGCTCACATACTTCTGAGCTGAAATGTTATTTCATGGAGGAAATTAACGTTCCCTTTCCACATTGTTTGTTGTGTAAAGGTAAAGGTTTAATTGACCTTTTTTATCTCCAGAGGAATAATAGTTAACATTTGCATCAACAGATACCGACATGGAAAAAACATCAGGTTGTAATTTATTTCTACCTCTTATAAAGGCTTTTAGGTTGTCTGGCCAATAAAAAAAAACAGTTATATATATCACCTATATTTCACATTTTCTATTAGAGAAACATTAACAGGGCTCTCAGGTTGCTCTCTTATTTTGTTGCTTCCCCCAAAAATGTATAATTTAGTTATAGGTAACAGATACATGATTTTTTAGCACGTCATTGACCTTAAATGCATTCTGCCTGTTAGAGGCCTGATGAATTAGATGGCTCCAATTATATTTTTGATAGGACTGGTCTTCATTGCTCAGCGGCGTCCTGCAGGCTTATATATTTTTCTTTTAATTCTGCCCTCATTTTCACCATCATATTTCCCAGACATGTGAAGCTCTAGCTTCTTTCTGTTGGTGCTGACTTTTCACTGCAAGACGTCCAAATTGCTTGTAATGATTTGTGTTATTCTTTTCTGCGCTTGTTGTTGTTTTTTTTGTTTTTTTTTGTTTATTTAATTAATTAAGCTTTCTGGTCTTTATTTGAGTTTTTCAGTATATCTTCATTTTATGTTTTTTTTGACAGCAGAATGGCACCAGCAGGTTTCAAGGCCTTACCAGTTTGGAAGACATTTCCGCTATAATCAGCACCCCATCTTTAGGATTCCAGGTAGCGACCATCTGATGTTCTAACCAAATGAGCCTCACTGTTATCAGTTCTCACTGTCACGCAGATACAAGCTCATCTGTGTATCTGACAACACGATTCTCATATTGTTAATACTTGTCTAGGGATCTTGTTTGGACACAGCAGTGTGAGCTGTGTCGACGCATTAGAGGAGAAAAAAAATCATCTTTCTCTCTTTTTTAAATAACATTTACTCAACAAAGCTTTAATTTTTTTAAACCATGTTTCTTTAACGATTCAAAGCATTATTTTATTCTGCTTTAAATAATCAAAACTTATAACGTTAAAAGTCTAAAAAGAAAGAAAGTGTTGTAAACAACTTGTTTGGGATGTTTCCAGGCTCAGGTAACGCAGTCCTCACCAGAGGAGGAAGAGGAGGCTGAAGAGGAGGAAACAGAAGAGCTGGGGCATGTCGACACATATGCTGAGTACAAACCCTCCAAATGTATGTCTAAATATCACAATCAAATTCCTTCTCATCTCTATGTTCCTGTGCCTTTTACACATTTCTAAGACTTTTTGTTTCCATCTTCAGCAACAATAGGAATTTCACATCCTGACATTGTTGTGGAAACCAACACACTGTCCAGCGTCCCTCCTCCTGACATTACCTACACTTTATCTATCCCTGAGTCAACTATTAACAGTGGTCTGCTGTCTGCACTGCAGCTGGAGGCCATCATCTACGCCTGCCAGGTGAGAACGCTAGTAAATAACCTTTATTAGCTCATTTTGAATTAGACCTTCATAGCTCTAGTTTTTACTTCTTTTGTACTCTCTCAGCAACACGAGGTGATCCTGCAGAACAAACAGAGAGCGGGCTTCCTGATTGGAGACGGGGCGGGTGTTGGAAAGGGGCGCACCGTGGCGGGGATCATTCTGGAGAACTACCTTAAGGGACGAAAAAAGTCACTGTGGTAAGAAGAATACGCTGCCTCTCTTTGCCTCTATAACAAGCCGCAATATTACGACCATAAACGAAATTTATGTGATAGAACAACTTAAACTACAGCAACTTTTTAATTTAAATTTTAAAAGGCATGTTGTGTTTTTATACTCATTAGAAAGCTTTTTATGAATCAAAGATTTTGGCAAGATGATGTGGCTTGTAGGCAGGGGGAAATGACACACCTAGAAATGAAACATGTTAGTGGCAGCATCATGCTTATGGGAATTTTTTCTTCAGCGAGAGAATGAGATAGAGATAGTGGATGCAGTGGACTTAAGACCGGCGCTCCGGTTCACCTATACCGACTGGCTGACAGCACTAAAGACAGAGGCGTAGAGTAACTAAGTACCTTTACTTTGTTACTGTACTGACGTCATTTTGCTGAGGTTCTGTGCTTTACACAGTATTTTTCTAAATCAAAACTACATTAGAGACATAAAATGTTTAGAACATTTTTATTAAAAAATCCTTAGTGCAACATCTAATGATAAAGTATTTTTACATTTGAATTGAACTGAAATGACTTTAAAATCTCAGAAATTGTTACATTCTTGAAAGGGATTGATTATGTGGATAAGAGAAGAAGAACTGTGCTCCTGGTTCTCACTTCTTTTTGGTCTGTGGTGATATTATACCACATTATTGTTTTTGAGGAGTATTCCTGTTTAGAAGTAGAAATATTTATTTCTTTTATTTCTCTGGAAGGATGAGAATGTTATTTATACCACTGCTTTTAGTTCTAAATATTGTCCTTAAACTAAAGTTTCAGCAAAACCTTTTTTGGTTATAAAATTTAGGAACTTAATTTTTTTTTTTTTTTTTTGCTTTAAGTAATTTTGACACAATGACTGTAATATTTTTTACATTTTATCGTATTGTTGGTTGTCTCATGCAGACAGCACAGCTGCGGATGTGCACTAATCTACACAGTAGCTTCTGTGGTAGTATGAGTTGTTATAGTTGCATGTTTTCTTAGGGCTGAAGCAAGTTTTCAATAAATTCTTATTGTTCTTATCCATGTGAAGCAAAGGAACCAACTAAATAAACTGTTTGTCTTTATTGTTTTTATGTACAAAGGTACCCAGTACTTTTACTTTCTCAATAATTGTGAGCAATTTTCTGACCTAAGTACTTTTCTTATGACTGACTTTCACTTTAATCAAAGTCGTTTTCTATTGTATTTTTACATTCACTTTGATTTTTCTGCTTTATACAGAATGCAATGGCTCCAATCAGAGAATATAAATCCGATTTTATTTGTGAAACACTTATAAAACAACCACAGCTTAACAAAGTTCTGTATAGAAAAAAATAAATAAAACATAAAACAGTACACATAAAAGACAAAACAGCTAAAACATAGATGAAAGTAACATTCACACAATTAAATCAATAAAGTTAAGTAAAAAAAATAAAACGATCTTATAAAGCCCACTGTCTTGTCAGGTGTTAAAATTCAAAGCGAAAACCTGGGTTTTTGCTCAAGCTTTAAAAACAGCTTATAGTCAGATGAAGTGCAGGACAGTTTGACTATTTAGGAATAAAATATCCATCTCTATCAAATGGTGAGGTGCCAAGATCTGGAATTTTATCAAAAGGTTGTTTAAATGTGAGGAAAACTTTGAAAGGTTTAAGCCTAAGAAATACTTTTGAAAACTACTAAAGGAAGTTTAAAAGCCCGGACACGCCGAATCTGATTTTGCGTCTTGTCGGAAGAGGTTGTGGTATTTAGCGCTTAATGAAAGTCAGTGGGGGATGATCACACCCGACACGACTTAATGCAAAGGGGGGTGCGTAGGTCAGACTGAGATAGAGCCCAGGTCTTCTAGTCGGATTATGCAGCACTTTAATGAGTCTGACAGAAGGAGAGACGCAGTTACAAAGTAAAACACATCTGCTTTGGGTGGAAATCCTAAATAAAATCTGTTAATCGCACGGGGAAAGACTCAGTTTTGGAGTGGAAGATTATGTGTATAGTAAGCAGGACAGACAGGTGCAAAAACAATGAATGAAACATAAAAAAATGTTTTGAGCCTTGCAAAAAAAACTAAATAATGAGGGGCAGACAGAGCAGGTAAGCATTGCGTATCTCTCTCACCTCTTTATGGAAAAAAAAAAGAAAAACTTTGATAAACTTCTCAGATCTCTCTCTGAGAATCACCTCTCTGTCTCAGTCACCATAGAAACCGTCCCACAGCATTTATTTCTAAGTTTTTCTTTTCTTTAGAAATAGATCTCATTATGTTTTTAATATGTTAATATTATTTATCTGTTCTGGTTGGAGATGCAGCACAGACTTTGCTTTATGAAACAGCCGGTGTGAAAAAAATCTACACAGATCTGCCCACCCTGCCTAGTTGGAGCCTCTCTATACGTAGTCAGTGTTACATACAGAAAAATCAGAGAATAAAAAGTTATACACAACCGGGGTGCATTAGATTAAGCTTAGCATGTTGTAACCTCAGAAACAGTGGTCTGACTCAAAGTTTTATATCTGTTCCTTCCCTCAGGTTCAGCATATCCAATGACCTGAAATATGACGCAGAGAGAGATCTCAAAGACATAGATGCACCAAATATTCCGGTGCATGCCTTAAATAAGGTGAGTCATTGGGAGGGGAGGAGAGTCAAAGTTAGGAAACACAAAATAATTCCTTTCTGTTGAATTTTGGTGTTACTTTTTTTTTTTTTTTTATCTTTGTATGTTTAAATGATTTTTATAGATAAAGTATGGAGACACAGCTACCTCAGAGGGAGTTCTTTTTGCAACTTATTCTGCGCTCATTGGAGAGAGCCAGGCGGGGGGGCAGCACCGGACACGGATTAAACAGATCCTGGACTGGTGCAAGCAGGACTTTGATGGAGTCGTATCCTTTCATCTGGAAGCTAAATTTTGTTCTTAAAAGGTCACTGCCACCCGTGTTTGTTGTTTACCCTTGACCTCTCGCTGCTATAGATTATTTTTGATGAATGCCACAAAGCCAAGAATGCCACATCCACCAAAATGGGCAAGGCAGTCCTGGACCTGCAGAACAAGCTGCCGCAGGCCAGAGTGGTGTACGCGAGCGCCACAGGTAAGGCTGAGGAAGAATCCTACCCTTGCCAAAGGAAATAGGACAGAGCTTGAAGCTGTACGTCCTCTTTATGTCGTCTAGGAGCCTCTGAGCCAAAGAACATGATTTATATGAGCCGCCTGGGAATCTGGGGCGAGGGCACACCCTTCAGAACCTTTGATGACTTCCTGCATGCCATTGAGAAGAGGTATGTGGATCGATTCGGAAAAAGCCAGACTTTTAAATCATTTCAAAGCTTTTTTTCCCATTAGTTAACCATGTAAATAATGGATTTGGTTTCCATACAGAGGGGTCGGGGCTATGGAAATTGTGGCCATGGACATGAAAGTGAGCGGGATGTATATTGCCAGACAGCTCAGCTTTTCTGGCGTTTCTTTCCGCATCGAGGAGATCGGCCTGGATAATGACTTCAAAGAGGTTTACAACAAAGCTGCCAAGCTGGTCAGTTTCAGGATGTGAATGAGATCGCTGCGTCCATCACTTTTTTAATCTGAGGTGTCCAGTAACAAAGTGCAAATACTTCGTTACCTTAAGTTGATTCTCTAACTTTCACAAAATCGTTTTTTGAACAGTAGGATTTATACTTATAGTGGAATAATTATTAATACTTTTGACACCTCTATTCTCAGTTCCTGCCCTAATTCCTGTCATAAAGAGAGGAGCTTTCAGCTGATGTGTCATGTTCTTTCCACAGTGGGCCGAGGCGTTAAAAGTCTTCATGCAAGCAGCTGACGACCTGGGCCTGGTCAGCAGGAAGTCCCTGTGGGGACAGTTCTGGTCGTCCCACCAGCGCTTCTTCAAGTACCTTTGCATCGCTGCCAAAGTGCGCTGCCTGGTGGAGCTGGCTCAGAAGGAGCTGGAGGCTGGAAAGGTCAGTGCAACATCCCCCTGAATACAGAGCTTGAGTGTTTATCTGAATGCGTTAATATTTTCAGGCATGATAAAATCACTCTGCATCATAAACTTAAAGGGAAACGCCATTTTTTTTGGTTTACATTGGGCCCTTGATTTTACGTTATTACATCATGTTCTCCTCACCCATATGAGTTTTGTGTCATCTGGAGCTGTTCTGAAGGTATTCCGTTATATCCCAGTAATGTCCTCCTATGGGCAACGACTTGAAGGCACAAACTAAACTGTTCATAATTTATTCTTTATGTTACGCCAGCATTCATAACTTTCCCATAACTTTCCCCCAGACATCTGCGGTTATATTTTTTATATTTATATTTTTTTAAAACAAAGCGGCGCGTGTATGACATCATCCGCGCGCGCCGGCTACCGTTCATTAATCCTGTCCGATGAAATGCTGCTAGTTTTACTCACATGCCTGGAAGATGTCTAGTGCTACAACCACAGATGATCTATCTTTCGAAATGGATTTGAACGATTCAGATTAGCGAGCCGAATGAATAGAAGGGGTAGAGCGTAGCCGCCTGTGGCCCGCGCTGCCTTTCACAACTCCAGTCTGGCACGTGGATGATGTCATACACACTCCGCTTTGTTTAAAAAAAATATAAATGCCAAAAATATAACCGCGGATGTCTGGGGGACAGTGATCCACTTACATGTTGTGAATGCTGGCGTACCATAAAGAATAAATTATGAAGAGTTTAGTTTGTGCCTTCAAGTCGTTGCCCATAGGAAGACGTTACTTGGATATAACCTAACGGAATATCTTCAGAACAGCTCCAAGTGACACAAAACTCATATGGGTGAGTAGAACATGATGTAATAACATAAAATCAAGGGCCCAATGTAAAAAAAAAAAGAAGCATTCCCCTTTAATGTTTTATAAACATTTCCTTAAACCTGGCAAAAAGAGAAAAGAGTCTGGAAAGACTTTCTGTATTTTCACAGCAAAATAAATCATAGAAAACTAAAAAAAAATTAACATTTAAAGTATGGAAAATTTGCATAATACAACAGTCAGTCCAAATTTTTTTTATCTTTTGGTGCCAAAAGCTCCTTAAGATGGGTTAATGTTGTTCAAATATGTTACAGCTGATTTCTGTTAAAGAAAAGCTGATGAGTGTTTATTTTTGTTCCATCAGTGTATAGTTATAGGGCTTCAGTCTACCGGAGAATCACGCACCAGGGAGGTCTTGGACGAAAACGACGGCCATCTTGACCGATTTGTTTCTGCGGCAGAGTGAGTAAAAACAAAAAAAGCCATATCTAGTTTTTTCTGGCTATTTGCTTTCATTTGTTGTCGAAACCACATCAGTTTGAAATAGTAAACCTTCCTTTGTAGTACCTTTCTGAAAGTTCTGACCCAGTTTTAAAGGGTTTAGTTCCACTTCATTACTTTTTTGCATCAAACCGCCGAGCAGGCTTTTTAATTGTTTTCCTCACATATTGTGATCGCTCTCATACGGCTTGGTTTGGTGCTAAATCAAAGCAAGTTAGCTCTTTGTTTGCAATTCAACGAATGACTAATTCATGAAAAGGAAAAAAAGAAGAAGTTCTGAGTGCTCTGAAGTTGGCTGACCTGAAGCAGACATATCTGAAAGGCTGATCACATTAGATCACCCAGTCACTTCTTCATCAGCTCCTGGCAGCACCTGGCAGCTCTCATAAAGCCAAATCAGAAACGCAGGGCATTGCTGTCCTTTTACATCGATTAAAAAAGGTTTATTTTTCTTTGTTCTTATTTCCCCACCCTTTCTCTAGGGGAGTTTTCCAGTCTCTTGTAACAAAGCACTTTCCTTCAGAGAAACAAAGGAGGGAGAAGGCACCGGGGAGTAAGAGGAAAAAAGGTACGCAGCACCTTGGATCCGTTTGACACGCAAAGCTACAGCTGAGAATATAAGGAATGGGCTTCTTTTATTTATCAGATAAGGACAAGTACAGAAGAAGAAGAATAGAGTTTTTGTCGATGTTTGACTTTTCAGACGAAAGGGGAAAAAAACAAATAATGCTTCAGGAATGAAGAACATTTTACGTACATTTTTATTTCAAAAATATTATTTGTTTTAATTTAACATAAAAACTTAATTTTGATTTATCATCCATTATTATTTCAGTTTTTGACTTAATATTTAAATAAACTCATAAAAAAAAATGAAATCCCAATTTCACTACATGATGGATTTGTAATACGTGTCACACTGGACCTGATTAAGTAGTTAAAATTATAGTTTTTTTTTTTTTTTTTTGAGTAAAATCTCAAAGAACTGTTGAAACAGTTTTCTGTTCATTTTCTTTTTACTTACAGTAATAAAAACAGGCTTTCTATCTCCTTTAGTTTGGAAATGCTCCAGCTTTTATTTAAAAGTAACAGATGTTATTCCAGTTTCCAAAAAAAAAAGCAGTTAAATGATCCTTTAGCAGACCGTATCTCTTATTCCATGCTTTGATTATTTTCTAACAATAGAAGGGAGACCATGGAGACCTTTGATGAAATGAAAGTAACTGATAGTAATGATGCCGCATCATTTGAGCTTGTGAAACCTTTTACAGGGCCATATGATGGGCCATAAAATCAAGTCTCACATGGTGTGCTTCTTTACTAATACAAAAACTGGACCAACACTGAAGCAAATAATGCAAACGTTTTTGGCATTTACTTAATCATATTTAGTTACTTTAACTCAATTATTTAATGTTAGCAGGGTAGGACATTAAACAATTGTGTTAAAGTTTTAGCTATGATTAAGTAAATGCCAAAAGCGGTTGCATAATTTTTTCAGTGAACGCTCCATTTCCAACTTAACTTAGTTCAAATGCCTGTAAATCAGAAACCATAATTAGTTCACAGCAGGAATTTGCCTCTTAATGTATAGAGATGTAAATAACTGAGCATACAACATTTCAGCTAGACAACTGGAAGTGGGTCAGGCGCATTACGTTCCCTGGACCATCACCCTAATCTTTCCTTTGACAGAAGCTCTATCAGACCCAAGTCTAAACCTTCTAGCATTTTAACCTCCACCTGGTCGCCGGTGGTCGGTTTGTTATTTTTAGACCTAACAACTTAACACACAGTAAAATAACAAAACGGTTAAATTTCTACCTATATAGACATGCTAGACATCGTTAAAAAGCTTGGATTCTCCACAATCCAACCACTGAGTTTGTTTTATGGACACAATGAGCACCAAAGCACAGTTAATAAAGACATAGCAGCATTTTGAATCAGGATTTCTAAAACAGACCTTCTGCTGTATTATAAGTCCAATCTTCAATTGTTTGTTTTTCGTTTGTCCGTAGGGATCCACAGATGAAATGCGATCCATCATATTCGTAATAAAAACATTCCATGATGAAAAAAATCGCCAAATAAAGTCAGTCTTTTACCATCAGAAATGTTCCATCCTTACAGCTAATGCTAACCGCCTTGCAATCTATCATAGCTTCCACAAACATTTTGGGTTACTGTTGACTGTTTAGTCACCTTCCAGCCCTTCCCCCACCCCCGTTTAGAGATTTGTCATCAGGAGAGCCTTCGAAGCGACAATGAGGTCCCTCTCAGCTGTCGTCTTTACAAATGATTCCCCTTGTATTATGGCGCATAAAGTCCAGCTGCTATTGGTTAAATCCACATGCAATGTAGCCAATGAAATTACCTTTAAAACACGGCTAAACATGGCTAATTTTAACAGTGCAGCATGGATATACAGCTGGGCGTAAACAGCATACAGGCAGATCTGTTCCTGGGTCATTGCAACTCTGTTAGATAATTAGATGGAAAGTTATAAAAAAAAAATATATTTGCTTCATAAATATGTTGTGGCTATCAAAAGGCTCCAGAGTGATTTTTGGGGTAAAATTGTTGTGTAAAAGCAATTAGCACAATTTGGAAAAATTTGGCACATTTGGAGGGGTTTGGAGATGCTAATAACTCCTAGAGTTAAAAGTCCCATATTTCTAGAACTGTTATACCTAGAGGTCTGAAATGTTCTGCAGTTGTTTTTGACATAATGCAGAACAAAGGCGCATGCCTCAAGCATCTCACTTTTACTTTTACTTATTCGAAAAATACCTTATTATTTTCAAGAAGAAAAAAAAGATAAGTCATGTTTTAACTGCTGCGGTTTCTGCTATGTTTTAGCCACACTAATGTCATATATATTTTCAGAAACTAGAAGGTGTTAGCTTTCAAATGATGTAGCACAGATGTAATTTGGGCTTACAGTTCCTTAGTAATTTGCTTTTCTATTTGGGTTTGCAAAAAGGCGAGGATTACTTAAATTTAGGCGGATGTCGAGACAGAATACTCCATTACTAAGAAAGCCAATTGGTCTAAATTAAACCTGATAACTATTGAAACAGTCACAAGTTAATATTTTAAACTCACAAACTCAGCATGTTAAAAATCTATTTAAATCTAAAACTTAACTGGGGATTGGTGTTAAACCTTAAATATCCTCAAATCTTCCACCAGGGAAACCTCGGGGTCGCCAGCCAAAGATGCCTAAGCACACCGTGGACAGCGGTGGCATCATAAACATCTCCGATGACAGCAGCAGTGACTCTGAAGGAATGGACACCGACTCCAACTCCTCGCCAGACTCTCTGCAGGACAACGATGACGTCATCTTTGTTACCCACACTAGCTCCCAGTCAGGTAGAGCGTGTTTCCCATCTCAAAACTATAGCCTCCCATTGAGCCTGGAGTTTTTGATTCACCGTCGATCTGCCCTGTTTTTACACTCGTAGCCAGAATAGAGGAGATGAAGCAGAGTCTGCTTAATAAGATCGCTGAACTGGGGAAAGAACTACCTCTCAACACTTTGGACGTGCTCATAGACAAGTTTGGAGGACCTGATAAAGTTTCTGAGGTATGAAGTTTCACTCCTCTTCCTCCGCTGTTCCACACAGGACAAGGCTGCATTGACAGTCGGATGTTTTTTTCCAGATGACTGGACGGAAAGGCCGCGTCGTCAGACGTCTAGACGGCACCGTTCGCTATGAGTCCCGTGCAGAGCAAGGCTCCACAATTGACCAAATTAACATCAAGGAGAAGGACCGCTTCATGACTGGAGAAAAGGTCAGTAAACGGATGTTTGTTTGTTTGTTTGTTTTTTCTCTATCTGTTGAAGCAGAGATTTATCCCTGTGTAGACATCCTTTAGGATGAGCTGCATTCATATCCAAACTGTTTGTTGCAGTTGGTGGCTATCATCTCAGAGGCAGCCAGTTCAGGGATCTCCCTGCAAGCGGACAAACGAGTGAAAAACCAGAAGCGGCGGGTCCACATGACACTGGAGCTGCCTTGGAGCGCAGACAGGGCCATTCAGCAGTTCGGTACGTCAGGAAAATAAACCTCCAAGAAAACTTCCTAACCTTTGGAAGCGTCCGTTATTTAAGGAGATTTGAGGATTGATTGGGATGTACTGTGAAAGGTTTTTGCTTCTATGTTGGTCTGTTCTATAATTGGTTTTGGAGTAACTTAAAACTCATTTTATCTGTTTTTTTCTTCCAAACTTGTTCAGCTGTGTTATCGTGAAAATATAAAGGTGATTGTTATTAAGTCAGTTTAATGCTTTTACCCTAACTATACTTGTTGTTACACCTAAAATGAAGAGCAACTCTCTATGTCCATATATATATATATTTCATTTTATGTCTCTGGGTGCAGCTTTCTTTTTTGTTTGTTTTAGTTTCTCTTTAAGGTTTAAAGCTGAACTGAAGGGAACTTTTAGACAGGTTTATCTTTAGATCCGCAGTTTTTGACAATGACTTGCCTACGGGAAGAGGGGGGCCATCTTTTCAGCGCAGGGGTGTTAGCTTCCTGGGGTGGCTGAAAGTTCCTTGCTTTGAATCCCACAGACGGTCCTCAATCATCGGGTTCTCCATCCTCTGGATTTAACCCATCATTTGTTTAAAGCTGCAAATACAGATAAAGACAGTGATTGTTTGGATGATGTCATTTACAGTGCTGATATTGAAGGCAGGTTTTAGCCGATAAACATTTGACACAAGCTTGTTACTGAAAGAAATGAGAGCAGCTTTAATAATAGGTGAACTGTGAAGTTGCCGATTGAGGGATAATTAAAGTTGTTGACGTTAAAAGTCAGAAGCACGGTCTCACCTCTCCTGTCTTTCCGCAGGCCGCACTCATCGGTCCAATCAGGTCACAGCACCAGAATACATCTTCCTCATCTCAGAGTTGGCCGGGGAGAGACGTTTTGCATCTATTGTGGCCAAACGACTGGAGAGCCTGGTAAGAGAAGTACTGCTTAGAAGCGCCTGGGAAAAACCGACAGCTCTGTGGATTATTAGAATTGCCATTCTGTTTTTACTGCACCATGTGCTTCCTGTGTGTTTGGGGTCTTTGCTAGGGAATCCTTTGTTTCTTCACATTCTGGATCTTCCCCCTAAAGAAGCCCAGCAAGCAAAGCAACAGACCATGTCTGTATGATTGAAGTCTGCAGACATTTTCTATCATTATCGATGCATTTCTGCAGTAGCACTCGTCTGTTTTCATAGTGACACAGCGTGACGCTTGTTTTTGGGGAAGAGGGTAAGGAGGGGGTAGAGGGGGATGATGGTTCCAGGAAGTTGGGTTTTTTTGCCAGCTGAGCATGTGGTAAATATCTATTTAGAATAGTTTGCTCCAGATCTACTGAGCAGCATGCTAAAATCGGCCCAACCTGAGAGCTTTGCAACAAATGAACCTCAGAATAGCTGGGAAATGCGTCTAGGCAAAGGGATCCTTCACTTCCTGCCGTTCGTTTATTTTAACTGACTGCTGTTTGTCACTTGGGATCATCCCGAATAATTATTATCTTTAAACAGCTAAAGTGAAGAGCCAGTCAAGTCACATGTTTTCATGCTGTTGCTATTGATTTAAACTGCACCATATTAGAACATCATCCAATGTTGATGTTACTGGAAATATTACCTCATCTCTCTATCATCTGTCCTTTCAACACCCTTTCTGCCCTTTATTAGCCCAGCTAGTGTCATTTCTGGGTGTGGGCCTCTAAACAGCTGGCTGAATATTATGGTCTGCTGTGTGAACTCAGTACTGCCCCACATGGGCTGTATTTTAGACTTTGGAATATTTTGATTACAAGAAAAAGACTAAAATGATTAATGAAGCCAAGATCGTTTGCTATGTTTCTAATTAAAATGTCAAATGATGAATGAGAGAAGCTGGTTATAAATCTGTAATCCAGGCTGTAATCTGCAGCTCATCAACTTAATCATAAAGTAACAGAAGATGGCTTATAAGGGAGGGAAATATGCAGTACCCTTCTTTCAGCCAGCTGGCTGGCAGTGTGTATCAACAGCTGCGAAGAAGCCAATGCTCTGGAATCCCCTTAAATTTAGTGTAACTTTTTGAAACCGTCAATAAAATAATCTAATGTAAACATGTTGAAAATGTTTTTAAAAACTTCACCAGATATTTAACCTGTAGAGAAAATGAGAGAGTGATTTTAATCCAATAATAATGATAGGATTATGGTAAATAAATGGTAAATGGCCTGTACTTGTATAGCGCTTTTTCAAGTCAGAAGACTTGACCAAAGCGCTTTACACTAAATTCAGTCATTCACACACACACTCACACACTGATGGTGACAAGCTACATTGTAGCCACAGCTGCCCTGGGGCTCACTGACAGAAGCAGGGCTGCCGTACACTGGCGCTACTGGGCCCTCTGACCACCATCAGTAGACAATGCAGGTGAAGTGTCTTGCCCAAGGACACAACGACACTGAAAGTCGGAGCTGGGGCTTGAACCGTCAATCCTTCAATTTCAGGGCAAACTCCCACATCCGACACCACTGTCGCAAATGAATGCAGATTAGCAGCTAGTGAAATATAGAGGTGTCAAGTAACAAACACTTCGTTACCTTACTGAAGTAGAACTATTTATCTATCTGTACTTTACTGGAGTAATTATTTTTTTGAAAAAAATTACTTCTACTCCTTACATTTTAAAATTAGACTTGTTACTTTTGTTTCGGGCTGCGCAGTGGGTAGCACTGCCGCCTAGCAGCACGAAGGTTCAGGTTTCGATTCCCGGCCAAGGGTCTTTCTGCATGGAGTTTGCATGTTCTCGCTGTGGGTTCTCTCCGGGTACTCCGGCTTCTTCCCTCAGTCCAAAAACATGACTGTTAGATTCATTGGCTTCTCTAAATTCTCCTTAGGTGTGCATGAATGGTTGTTTGTCCAGTTTGTCTCTGTGTTGCCCTGAGATGGACTGGGGACCTGTCCTGGCTGTACCCCGCCTCTCACCCGTAGACAGCTGGAGATAGGCACCAGCAACCCTTCCGACGCCTCTTTGGATAAGCATGACGGAAATTGGATGGATGGATAATTTAGTTTAATTGAATCTCATTCTCATTATGGTATTTCAAAAAGTATTTAAAAAATAATAAAATCCAAATAATTTGTTGAATTCAGACAATTTATTTATTTGTGGATGGACTTGGTGCTGCCCCAACTTGTTCATCACATACCAAAATAAATGTTTTTTCAACATGAGAAAAAGTTAAATTTGACACTGTTATCATTAGCTATAAAACTAAGAACATTAAGCAGAAGGAAGTTATCATAACAAGTATAGAACTTGAAACATCACAGTTTTTTCCTTACTTGAATAATAAACAATACTTTTCACACCTCTGATATGTTGGTGGAGTATTGAAGCCTCTGTTGTTGAACAGTTTCTATTGCTGTTCTGTTCAGGGAGCTTTGACCCATGGGGACAGAAGAGCCACTGAAAGCAGGGACCTGAGCAAGTACAACTTTGAGAACAAGGTGGGTGTTTTTTTGTGGAGAATTTGAAAGTAATAATGCACCTTAGACAAAAAAAAAACCTTTTTATCCTAATAAGATGCTGAATAAATCAAAGTTTTTCTGTTTCTGCAGTATGGTACCAAGGCGCTGGATAAAATCACCAAATCAATCAATGGCTACATAGACAACAAGGTGCCTCCTCCCAGAGGATACCCTGGGGGCGACTCCATGTTCTTCAAAGGTCAGACTAATAACAGGCAAAGTTTTTCTCTTCCATCTGGTCTCCAGGTGTCTGATAAATAAAATATAATGGCTGCTGTTTATTGCAGATATGAAATATGGAATGATTGATGTGGGTATCATCAGTAAGGAGCCTCGCTTTGGTATCAGTACAGAGAAAGGTAAGGCAGCCCTGGAAACACTTCACCGGACATTTTGATTGGATTTGTGTTTAAGTTTAATTACAATTTTCTGCTTCTTCACCCTCAGACTGCAGCATCACCAAGTTCCTGAACCGCATCCTGGGCCTGGAGGTCCACAAGCAGAACTACCTCTTCCAGTACTTCACCGATAACTTTGACTACCTGATAGAAAAGGACAAGAAGGAGGGCAAATATGACATGGGAATCCTGGGTACGCTGCGTCTTTTATTTTCGTTCAGCAGGCTCATAGATTACTTGAATTCCTACTAATCTTCTCTCTGTTCTCCTGTGACTCTCCCAGATCTGGCTCCTGGTAACGATGAGATTTATGAGGAAAAGCAGGAAACGTTCCTGACTGCCGGAAATCCTCAAGATGGACAAGTTGTTCTTTATAAGGTAGGCACCCTAACCTTCTTATTAGTGCAGTTATAAGTCATATGAGCTAACCTGTAATGTTTGGTGTCTGTTCACCATAAAGACAGTGCAGCTCTGATGATCAGAGATTACTGCACAGTTTTTTTATTTATTTAATAAAAGATTGTCTTTTGACGTCTTCTCCTTTAAATACAGTTACATTTATAACTCTAATAAGCCACTGGAGCACCTGCACACAAACAAATTTGCAGCATTTTTAAGGCTTTCAGATTAAATTTAATCAGAACAGTTTGAGAAGAAATAAAATTGTCCAATGTAAACCACCCCCACGTATCTCAAGCAGCTACAGCTGCAGTATTAGAGATTTTATTGATGTCATTTTAGCCAGAGGTTAGACTATGATTATACAGCTTAGCTCAGGGCTGCGGAGCCCATGGAGATACCAGCATGAGGTAGTAGTAGGATAATTACTGGTATCTGCTTTTGACTGCTGGCTGCAGGCTAACCTGCGCATTTAAAATTTGGCACAGGAGTTAGATCCTGCAGAGGGAGACCAGTTTAGCAGGTTTGGAGATTCACCTGTATTTATAAAAGAGTAATCTAACAAGCCTCAGGTTTTACCTTTATTTCTCAAGGTCAGAGCACAGAGAGACGAGTCTCGATCTGTTCCTCTTCTCTTGGTTGGATCCAAAGTATTTTTGGAGATTGTTTTCACTACTTTTTTAAACATCCGAGTATTTCAAACACTTCCTGATAATATCAGGCTTCAGAAGAAAATGCTGCTCTTGGTGTGCCTAGGCGTATTTATTCAGTTCAGCCTCAAACCTAACTAAGGGGACTCTTTAGCAAATAAAAAATAAGTATTTTAATATCTTCTGACTGAAGGTTTATGTCTGCGATGTTGGAATTGGAGAGTTTTGTTTTTTTTCTGCTATCGTTCCCTAACAACTTATCTGTATTCAGATGATGTTCAGCAAAGTTTAATAAAGTAGAGTAGCTCTCTAAGCCTCCCTTAGCTTCCTGCTCACTGTGCGTTAGCAATAAATAAGGCTCTGGACAAGCAGTTTCATGTCTTATTTATGCCCCACTAAAATAAAAAGCCATGAATTAATAATAAGAACCTCCTTAAAAGTTCATAAAAGTAAAGTTTAAATTAAAACAAGTGCTTCTTTAACATCTTTGTCTGGGTGCCATCAAAGCTGCGTTTCTGTCTCTGAAAGAGTAGAACCAAATTACCATTAACCCAAATCTAATATAAAAGGTTTCTGTATTTTCTCCATCACAACTTAAAGAAGCATTTCATCCATCCATCTGCTTGGTTACACAGACTGTCTCCAGCAGTCTGTGGGTGAAAGGCGGGTTTCCCCCTGCACAGGTCGCCAGTCCATCACATGCAGGGAGACCCTAGTGCAGGAATCCAACCCAGGACTTTCTCTCTGCAAGGCGACTCTTCAAACAAAAAACACCAGAAGGCTGGGTTGTTTGTAGAGCCAGCTCCTCCTGCGTTATGCTTTATCGATCTTCGCAGACACCCCAAATTTAAATGCATGTAGATTTTTCACATCCTTCAGTAAAAGAAGGAGCTTAAATTACTTAGATAGCTCTAGTAAAGGTTTTAAAAATGTAATGAAAGTCCTTGCTGTTGTTTCATCTTTTCTGCACACACTTGACTTTTTTGTTTTCCTCCTTCAGATCAGCGTGGACAGAGGAATGCCCTGGGAGGAGGCGTACAACCGGTCGCTGAAGCTCACTGGTCCCGATGAGGGATTCTACCTTTCCCACAAGGTCGGTTCACCTGCCTCATTTCAGATTGCCATTAGAGTCTAAAGGTGTGTTTTAGATACTAAATACTGAAGCTGTGTGTGTGTGTGTGTGTCCTCTGCAGCTGCGAGGTAACAGTCCGTGTGTGCTGCTGGCTGAGCAGGGAAGAGGTAAAAACTTCAACATCTACAAGCCCAACATTGGAAAGCAGCAGCTCCCCGAGAGCCTCAACAAGCTGCAGCAACGTTACAGGAAGGTAAGAACCCACCAGAAGGGTTACTAAATACCACAGCCTCTATATTGTTTCTTGTTTGTTTGTTTGTGCTCTCATATTTCCTCTGCATTCATTCTAATAAATTGCATTTATAAAAATAATTCAGTATTTTGAACAATGTTTCTGGGAAATAGTTTTTTTTAGAAGGCGGATGTTTATAATTTGAAGTCTGCTGCCCCCTAGTGACCTCTTTCTGCTAAAGCTGTAGTTCTTCAGTCTGCAGACTTGCTGAACTTATGGCTGATCTGTTGTTTCAGGTTACTTACCTGGAGGCCAGGGAGAGCTGGGAGAACCAGTTTACCTTTTCCTTCAAGAACTGTAGCCACGCCAACTGGTAAGTAAGAAAAAAAATCCATCCCTGAGGAATAGCGACCTTGGCTTTGACAAAAAAAAGTGAGCATCGAATGTGTTGCTTAGGAATTTACTCTGTGCTCCCTGCAGGAATGGGAAGTGTAAGAAGATTGAAGAGGGCCAGGAGTGCCTGGCAGGGATGCGCCTCCGTCAGTATCACATGCTGTGTGGAGCTTTGTTGCGGGTGTGGAAGCGGGTCTCGGACGTTGTGTCTGACATCACCAGCACCAGCATTCTGCAGATCGTACGCCTCAAAACGAAGCAGCATAACAAGCAAGTCGGTTAGTACAGACGAGGATCGCTGCACCGGAGGCCTCAGCTTTAAGGCTGGTTTATACTTAGAAACCTGGTCGTTTGCGTGTGTGTCGCAGTGAATACAAATATGCCCCCGCCCCTTCCTCAGATACTCTGGTGCACCTCTCGAAATTGCAGGTGACCGCAGACGGTGCTTCAGACAGGAGGCCTCTGATTGGTCAAATTTACAACCACTCTACACTATGCACTCGTGAAGGTGGACCAGCTAGTACAGCGAGGTGCGCGAGAACGCTAGGACCCTTTTCCCACCTGGATCCCCTCTCTTTTTCGCCCTCATGTCCCTTTGTTGTCGCATAAAATTGCCCCCACTTCCTCACTGCCTCGGCCGTATCTAGTCCCACAACTAGTTCCTGATTGTCCCTCTTGCATTGTGGTGCGGAATAACATAGAGCAGACCACGGTTCAATATTGAGCATAAATCAAAAATTTCTGTGAAAAGCTCACTGCTGGTTATAACACTGCTGCAGGGTTATAGCCAGACCTTTAGTCCACTTTTAAGGAAAGAAGAAAAGCTTAGTAACTCTAACTAAAAATTAGATTTTTGAATAGAACACAGATCTAGGGGTTGCATTTCTCTACAGTTTGAAAGTTTTCTTTCACGTTTCTGTGCTATTGGACTCACTATTTCTTTTTCTGCTGGATGCAGGCATCAAGATCCCAGAGAACTGTGTGGCTCGCGTTCGTGAGGAGCTGCTGCAGATGGACACAGAGGTGAAACGGAGACGGAAAGAGAAGGAGCTGAAGGAGCTGCAGGAGCGCAAGTGGAAGCTGGAGCAGCAGGAAAATAAGCATCGTCTGGAGAACTTGTTCAGTCAGAAAGCCTTACCCAATCAGTCCCTCAGCCAGAACCTTAACCAAAACGCTCTACAGACCACCCAGCCTGTGAGCTTCTCCCAGTTACCAGAATTGACTCAGCAGAACTCCCATGGCCTGTCGCTGTTCTCTTTGCAGAATCAAAACGGCTGGTGTCCGTTCCCCAACAGCACGGTCAGCCACAGACCTCCCCAGTTTTACAACCCTACTTATTTCCAGCAGTCCAAGAACCCGCTGCCTCCACTCTGCCAGTTCGTCCCGCCTCCCAGTTTATCTTCCAAGAACCCTTTGGATGAAATCTTGGACCTGACAGTGAGCCCGCCCTCTTCGTCTCCAGACACCACCTCAGCCAACCCGGCAGCGTTTGTGGACGATTTCAACCTGGACGCTCTTCTGGCCGCCCCCGCTCCAGACACGTCGAACACCATGCAGACGGCGCCGTCTCAGCTCGATCTGCAGCACATCCTCCAGGCTCTGCAGCACACCCAGGATAACGCACAGGCCGCTGCGCCTTTATTCGACCTGCAGCCCCACCAACAGACCCAACAGGATCCACAGAAGCAGGAGCAGAACCCCACCCTGCTGGCTCATTTACAGCAGCAGGACTTAGACGATCTTTTTGAGTCTCTGTCTCCACAGATGTCCACGCAGAAAGCCAACCCTTCGTCTTCCAACTCGTCCTGTGCTTCCTCTGCGTCCTCCACCTCACCCCACTTCTCCAACCCATCGTCCTCCTCGTCCTCCTCCCTGTTCTCAAGCTCGCCCTCCAGCTTTCCAGGCTTCATCCTCCCAGCCTCAAACTCGCTGCCCAACGGCCACTGCAGCTCGGGCGCTCTGGATGTCCGCGAGGCTCTGAACAGCATGCTGCAAGCTGGCCCAGACCGCAAGTCCGTCATTCAGTACCGTCAGCAAGAATAATAGTTACAAACTACCTGGAATATGTCCTGTTTGATGGTGTTTGGTTTGTCTTTTTAAAGCAGATCGCATCGTGTTTGCTGCTGTCTAGAATCGCACCCTCAGACCTACCCCACCCTCCGTCCTCCTCGCCCCCCCCCCTCAGGGCCAATAGTCACGTCACTGCCTGTCCTGTGCTGGACCCCCCACCCCCAAAATCCCACCACAACCCCACCCCTCTTCTCCTCCTTCACCTCCTTCCTCCTGAGGTAATGGCAGACTCAGTCGTTAACTGATTTCTGCACCAAAGTGTGATCTTCGCAGAAAAAGGCAGCTGTTTTCAAACTTTTGTTTTTTAAAGGATGCAAAAAAAACCTTAAATGAAATCTGGAGCTGTCAAAAATGCTTTCATTAAGACGTGGTAATCTTTAAGGATATATTTAGTAAACGTTCTGCCGCTGATTCTGAGGTGTAATGAGCGATGTCACTGGAAGCTCTAAAATGCCTCTCGCCAACGCTGACTTTTGATTTCTCTGTTACTTTCCTCGCTTTAGAAAAACAAACAGGCGCTGCTGAGCTTCGAAACATTCAGCTGGATGACGAGAAGGAGGAAAATAGGAAGTGGTTGAGATGATTAGCCATGAAATGCCTCTGTTTTAAGCCGTTTCCTCCTCCTGCTTCTCTCCCTGCTTCTATGAACACTAGTGCGAGGAAACGAGGGTGAGGACCATCAGTCTGCTGTTGCAAACAGTGCCTTCAGAGAAAAACTTAGAAATGCAGTCTTTAATAATCCATGTAGCCTAATGTATAGATTTGTACTCCTGAGCGGTGGTTTTATCTTTAATGTATTTGTATTTAACTTTGACCCCATGAATGAGCGAGTGAGTCATCTGGTGTTTGTGTTACATTGTGCTGGTGTCGGGGGTGGAGGAACATTATTCTGGTGTCAGATTGTCTGCTTTGCTGCTCTTTGGATGAAAAATGTTAAAATAAAAGTTAAAGGAGGGTTTTAGGTATTAGAGATGTCAGCTAGTGGTAGATTTGCACACAAATATGGCGTGTTGGATGCAGAATCTCACCCAGTTTGGATTTTTCCAGGCCTCTGAGGAATGATAACACTACACCCCATCAGGTTCTCACCAGGACTGCTTGAGTAAAATGCAGCTCTGTTGCTCCATGTTTTATCCTCAGCATGTCCTTCTCGTTTTTACATCTCCCATCCTTTACCTGTGTCTGTCTCACCGTGCTCTGTTTTTAAAAAAAAAAAAAAAAAACTTCTTTTCTTTTTTTTTTTTCTCAACAGCGGATTTTAGCTCACGTCTGATGCTGATTCTGTTTCAGATTGCCGCTCTTTCGGTGCACCTCGACTCGTTTTCAGTCCATGTGTGTCTGTGGTTCTTTTTACATTTGCTTTCACTTGGCATGAGCTGGTATGAGATTATTGTGTAAAAAAAAAAAAAAGTCAACTTTAAAGCAAAAAAAAAAAAACGTTTATCCCTTATCTGCTAAAATAATAATATTTATTATGATGATAAATATAATGACCTTATCTGTTAGATTTATGTTATTCTATAAAAACAAAAAATGTAAATAAATACATTTTTTCAGCCACATGTCTGAGAATTGACCGGTAGTGAAGAGAAACAGGTGGGGGCAGCACCATGTCATTGAAAGATTTTTAAACTGCAGTGATGTCATGAGGTTAAATGTAAAAAGCTGAGTTGCAGTGAACAGCTAACAGTAACCAGCTCATGCCTCGTTTCGTGTCTTCACTTCTAGCAGATCACTAATCATCTCTTTCATGATTGGAATTAAATCCAGAAAGTTTTTGTAGCATCTGAGTAAATTCTGCCCTTTTTTGTTTATTTCTATAAAAGAAGCATGAGCTTCCATCTTTGTTAAAGCTTCTGAGATCCGCTCGTTTAGGTTCCTGTCACGTCGCCAGATGATCAACTGATCAAAAAGCAATAACCAATAGTTTGGAAAAAAAAGAAGGGCAAACGTTTACGCTCAGCAGGGCAAACCTTTGGCTGTGCTTTCATGGTATGAATCTCCTTTATTTCTGTCTTGTACGTTTGTAAAGTATAGTTTATCTCGATGAACATCACAAGTTCTTGATGTCATTGCTATTATAAAACCTATTGTTATTTATATTTAAGGGATATTTAGATTTTAGATATGTTATCTTATTATGATAGTCAGTGGTATATTACGGTCAGGGATGTTACTTGTGTTGAAGATTATTGCTATAAAAAAAAAAAAACAACAAACAAACAAAAAAAACAGATTTCATTATAACCTGCCACCAAATAAGATTGCACTGTTCTGTACTGCTGTACAGCATCTGGGTTTATTTTAACTCCCGCTTTCCTTTCCACTCGTTCGCCTTTTGTCCCAGAAATACCAAAGTGTTCCACAGACAGAAACCCTAAAGAAACTGGCTCCAACATGCAAGACCTTTAAGAAATCTCAGGAAGAAACCCAGCGTGTCGGGGCGTTGACATAATTATGTCCTTTCCCTCGGTAACAGTGATTAAACTAACGAATCTTTTTGTCTTTGTTTTGTTTTGTTTTTTCTCCTAACTCTTTGCTGTGAGTGTTGCTGTATTTATGTTGAGAACTTAATGTGATGAGTTTGTGAAACTGTTGGTGATTTTAAATGTTTATGCCATCTTAGCTCAAAGATCAAAGCCTCTCTCTGTTAAGGAATCGTACTTTTCTGTGGAAAGTTTCGTCATTTTGTTTGGTTTTTAATTCAGTCACACCTGGTTATGCTTTAGCGTATCAATAGCAAATCCTAGCCTCCCTCTCCTCCCAGAAGGTTCAAACTAACACAAAATAAAATAATCTCCTGTATTTCTCTTCAGGCACATTCCAAGATATCCGTCTGCAGAACCTTTCTTTGTTGTTTTTTTTGTTTTGGCACAAAAGCTTTACATATATGAGGGATATATATATATCTATACATCAAAATATATATATATATATATATATATATATATATATATATATCTATACATCAAAATATATATATATATATATATATATATATATATATATATATCTATACATCAAAATATATATATATATATATATATATATATAGATGGATTTACAGATATTTTATTATTTTATTTGCTTAGTTAGGCCTTTAATCGTGTATCATTTTGCACTAAGAATGGCATAATCCAGTTACTGTTTGTGTTGGCTATAATTGAGCCTGTTGTCCTAGTTCTTTATAAATGCTCTCTGTATACTGTAACCATGTTTGTTGTTCTTTCACTTTTTACATATTATGTAAATGTTATCACTCTGAAATAATTTATTCCTAACAAAGAAAAAAATGACACAAAAACATGCTACTGATTGTATGTATTTTTAAACAAAGCCTATTTTTTCTGTAAAAAAAAAAAAAAACTGTGTTCAGCACTTTTATTCTGGGTTTTTGTTTTTGTTCTCTATATATATTTATAATTTAGATCTAAATGTATATATTGTAAAATTTGTGCCTTTCAACTAATTCTTTCAGAAAAAGTTTTTCTACTCATTAAAGGAAGGACTATATGAAAACGCAATCTTAACTTTGTAAACAAATAAAATCTTCAAGATTGCTGAGGTTGAGTCTGATTTTTTTTTTTGTGAGTTGTTTTTCTGGAGTTATTTGAACTGTCATGAAGTAGTGGATTCATTTTAGGGAATTTTACCTGCATCTTGTGAGCTCCCTCTTGTGGATGAACTGGGCAACTGCATTAAAGCTGACTGAATACTAATGAATACAGAAGGACAAGCTTTATCCCAGCAAACTATACAGTTCTCCATCTGAAAGGGGAAAGTATGGTTCTACTGGAAATTGGAAAATAAAGCAAAATATCCACAGCTTAGATCTTTGAAACAATTGCCATTAATTATAGACTCCAGAAACGAGGTAGGTGTTGATATGCTTAGATCTTTGAAACAGATGCCATTATTTATAGACTCCAGAAACGAGGTAGGTGTTGATATGTGGCAATAAGAAACCCATTTTTGCAAGAGATTCTACTAAAAGTATCACAGTCTTGATTCTGTTATGTTTTACTTTGCTTCATGTTTTCTAGTTTTATTGGTTTAATTCCCATTTTGTTGTATTTTCTGGAAATATTTGAGTTTTTTATTTGTTTCCCTTTGTTGCCCTCTTGTGTTAGTCTCCTTTTCCCTCGCTTCTTCCTTTGCTGCTCTGTTGACACCTGCTCCCAATCTGCTCGTTAGTCCTCTCTTTGTTCAGTCTCCCTTAAATACACTCCTTTCAGTTAACCTTAGCTAAATTCAACTAACTCTTTATCTGGAACATTAGTCATTAATGTTGTACACATTCTAGAAATTCTGGCATTTATATTTTTTTCTCAAATTTAAATCTAGCAAACAAACTACTAGGTCAAAGTTACGTTTTGTGTGTTTTACTAAAGCAACTTGACTGATGTCACATGCTGCTTGTGTTCTTTTTTTGTGCCAATTTTAGCGAGATGGAGACTCGTTTTGGCAAAAAGACACGCGATGGGGGGGTACATGACGCTGTCGAAGACGTGCAAGAGGTTGTGGAGGAGGCTTTCGTGGAAAAGCCACAAGATTTAGAACTCGTCTCCGTTGGTCAAAAGCCTAAGAAGCAAATGAAATATTCCCCAAGGAAACTGTGTAAGTCATTTTTGGTGTACTATTTTCTCCAGAAGGGCTTGAAATTTACTCATCCCACCAGCCCAGGTAATACAAAAGTTACATTTTGCTAAAGGTTTTTAATTTGTCTG